TGTTCGTCGATCATCGGAGATGATTTACTCGATGGATTTGTGATCCTTTTATCACGAATCGTTTAGTAATTTTAGTAGCAATACTCCGCGAATCGTGTTGACGAGATTTTTGCCAATGATCCAGCAATTCTCGTTGCTTAATCCTTCACCAACGATCTGCAGGAAAGTCACGATAATCAGATAAAAACATATGACTTTTGACTCTAGGAGGATTTGAACCTGCACCGGTTGTCTGCCCCTTTTGAAGAAGGTGTGTGGGTTTAGTCTCACATCGGTTGTGCGCCGATATTTCGGGCGAATATATAGTAATTCTACATTTCTAAGCAAAGTTTCTTCTCTCGTGTGTATGACCTTTCCTTGCCCCACAGTCGGTTGGCCACCTGTGATGTGGAAGGGGAGTGACACACACGTGCCCCCATTAGTTCAAACCGCTCGAGCCCTTGCTCGCAGCTACTCCCCAACTACGCTTTCGACCTACTTCCAACCCGCTTGCAGGCCCGGTTGGCCAGCAGGTCTCCCCATTTTGTAATATTTTTATTTTTATTTCTTGTTCTTCATTTATCTCAAAAGTAAGATTATAAAAATCATATAAAATCACATAATTACTCAAAAATTCACATTGATCAACTAAAACTACTTTTCACACTTTAACATAAATATAAGTCTATTTATCATGAGTTAAGGTTAAAATTATATTATTTATTAATTATTAACTCATGATAATGAAGACTTATCACATCCCCTAACTTAAATCATTGCTAGTCCCTTAGTAATAAAATTACGAAAATAAAAATTTATAAATCTCAAACATTATATTTCAATATAGAAAGAAAAAATACAATTAGAAATGATGCACCTTTAGACACTTTGGATTCTTATATCAAGTATTTAAGAATGATGTCAAGCACTTAAATATTTAAACATTAATTAGAATAACAATCTAGACTTCACTTCTTCTATTCACATCTTTATCACTTCTTCACTCATAGATGTATTTACAAGATGTTCTAATTATCAATACTTATCTAAGAATAATATTACTTTTATATTTCTTTTTTTCTATGACTTGATTTTTAAAGTTTGTACTATATTTCTTATATATATATATAGTAGATAAGTAACTTTTCATGTAGATAAATTTTAATAATAAGAATGATATCTCACACCCTCCATGTGTACTCTTTATTTTCAGGGCTTTCACTTTACCTACTTATTTTGCAGCAAGTGTTTTTCTATACTTGATTTTCAACAATGAGAATAATGTCTCACACCTTCCATATGTACTCTTTGTTTCTAGATTTTTCACATTGCTCTCTCTTCTTTTTTTTTTTCAAAATAAGTGATTTCTCCTCACAAGTCCTATAGATCGGGGTGCAAAAATCTCCATTAAACTCAAATGATTAATCAATTTTTCACATCAAGTAAATACTATCCATCAAGATCATGAAGTGAAAATCTGTAAAATCAAATCCATGTTATCTATCATGTATCCAATGAGTATTCTAACATTTCATACTACTAGATCATTCTTTTGACTCAATAATAATCTTCCTAGTATCTATTTGGTATCAATCAATCTAATTGATTTAATTTTTCATGCATGTAATATAATGTAAGAAATTTGTAAATTAGATAGTTCTGATAGTTCTATTTTTTGGTTTCAGTTCTATTTTTAGCACAATAAATTTGTCAAAAATAAATCAAAACTATCCTCTTTCTAGTTGTAATTTCGAGTTTCAGTAATATATATCTAGGGGATTAAAATGTGAGAAAAAGGTCTTTAGAATTTCAAATTTCAGGCTATTTTTTTGTCTACTATTTTTGACAGTCTGTTGTTCTTGATAGAAAACTAGAAAATACATGTTGTAGTTTTTCTGAATTTTATTTTATTTTTATTTTTTTAGTTACTGTTCTAAGTTGAATAAAATGCAAACACATGTTCTTAATCGTCCTACAACATAAATTAATAATGAATACTTCACCCCTCAACTTAAAAATGACATTGTCCTCAATGACACAGAAAAATTGAAACAAAATATGCAAAAAATATAATTTTCAAGTGAAGCATGCATATGTGCAAAGTTAAGCATTAAAAATATTATCGTAAATGATAAAGCTCAGAAAGACATCACCTCAACCTTGTTTTTAATTTTCCACTTCATCTTACACTCCTCTTCCTGCATTTTTTTGAAAAAACAAATACAGAAACAAGTACTACAAAATTCTAAGAAAAATAGAGCTTAAAAAAAATCAAACAGAATGAAATAAAAATCATGAGTTGCCTCCCATGCAACGCTGCATTTAATGTCTCCAGCTAAACAGCTCTTAGATCATATAAGATGATCTATGGCCATTGAAATATATATGTATCCTAAGGTAAGTTTCATGATATTCTTTTTCAAATTTAGTATAAATTCATATACTTCATATATATACCTTGACATACTTTCAGCCAAAACAAAATAGAAATTAACAAAATTTTATTTAAAATAATATTTCTATTTTGAAAAGAATCTTTCCTTATTTCTATCTTATTTTGTAAGGCTCTCATTCATTAATAAATACTTTCTATTAATAGACCATAAAATGTGATCAGGCCATATAATTTTCAAATTAACTCTTGCCCAACCTAAATTTTTTTCATCTAAATTGATATCTCTAATTCTTCCATTCACCTATTTCTTAATGTGTTCTTTTATCTACATAATCTTCCCCTAATCTATTTTATCTTCCATATATATTTGTTTAATATGCGAGATAAATATTTCAAGCTTAGAAATAGTTCTAATGGGCTGTGAGTTTTGAAGGATAGAAGGATTGTCTTCTTTAATCTCAGATCTAATGAATTCAGTAAAATTTAAATTTTCTCCTCCAAAATTATCTCTGTATTCATATCCATTATTTTCGTTTCTCCCCATTAGTTGAATCAACTCTTTTTCTAGCTTTTTGTTTCTCAACTCATCACATTCTTCATCTTCCTAAGAACTATCTTTTAATTTCGGTATATGACATACATCATTATCCTCACAATCAACATTTATGGTTGCAAAATTATGATTAGATTTATTAATTTCATCTTCTACATCTCCCAAATCAATTGATTTTTCCTCACCTGAAATATGTTTTTCTTCATTTATGTCCTTACTCCCTTCTACTAAAATTTAGATGATTTTTTCATGATCAGCTTCTGTTTCTTCATCTAAGGGCTCTTTCTCCTCATTATCCTCACTATATTCATTCATCAATTGTGAGTAATAAATTATTTTATTTAAATTTTCTACTACTATATTTTTGGCCTTAATATTCTCATTTACTTCTAATGGATCATCAATTTCTTCTAATAATTAGAAATAAGGATCAAATAAAATATTCTCACTCAATATATTTACTATCTTAATATTTTTAATTCATGAGTTTTTTTCTAAATTTATCAAACTAGACTCTTCTTGCTGAAATCCTACTATTGGATAGTTTCTTGAATTTTTTATGGGTTGACTAAGTAGTTATCCCTCTTCTTTCTTATCCCCAAGAGCCTCTATAATTTGTTTCTGGTGTAGCATCATTTGATTCATAGTTTGTTACATCATTTGACTCATTTGTTGTATCATTTCTATAGCATCAGGTTGGATTTGAGAAGACAGATTTTTTTGAAATCTATGTTCCTATTTTGAACGAAATTCAAAATGTGAATTGGATCTAAGTGCTTCTAGATTTTGAATATTATTTGGGTTTCTTCACGAAAAACTATTCCCCCAATTAGGATTATAAGAATTAGAAAAATATTTCTAATTTTTACTAAAATCGTGGGATACTTACACTTGTTCTTGCTTAGGATGATATTGAAATTCGAAATGATCATTTTCACCATACATAGGACGTATACTATTTGAATTAAATTGAGGGTTAAGAGGCTTTTTAATATTGTCAATAAGTAAATCAAGTTTTTCTAATCTTTGATTAATTTGATTAACCTCATTTCTAAGTTTAGAATCATCATCATGATGTAATTCATAAATTCCTCTCTTCTTATCCTTGTCATATAATTCAAAAGAGGCTTGATCTCTAGAATTTTCACTTAAATTCTCATAAAGACTATAATCTCATTAGGAGTTTTTTCCATAAAAGCTCCTCTACATATAGAATCAATCATATTTCTACATTATTCTAATAATTCATCATAAAAAATTATATTGAGCTGCCACTTGGATAAAGCATGATGAGGACACTTTCTAAGTAGATCTTTGAATTTTTCTCATGTCTCATGTAAAGTTTCTCTTGATCTTTGAGAAAAACTCCATATATGTTTTCTCATATTTTGAGTATTTCCTAAAAGATAATTTTTTTGAAGAAAAGCTTATTCTATATCTTTCTAGCTAATTAATTCTCTATCTAACATGGATAGCCAATAGCTAGTTTTGTCCCTAAATGTATGAGGGAATAATTTCATCTTAATAATTTCTAATGTAATTTGGGAGAGATTAATTAAATCACAGATCATATGAAATTTTTTTAATTGCTGATGAGGTTCCTCTAAAGGCAATTCATGAAAATTAGAGAGCATTTGAAAAATTCTTAGATTTATTTCGAATTTAACAGTGGGTGCTAATATGACTCTAATATTTGATGCTCTTTGAAATGAATCAGGGATATAATAATTTTTCATGACCATAGAATTATTCTCAGTTTAACCTGTACTTCCTTTAAGATCTATCAAAATTAATTTCTCTTTCAGATCTTTATTTTTGAATGAAATAATCAAAGGATTTTCTAGCCTTGGATGCAAGGATCTTCTACCATGCATAAAAAATCAATAAATTCAAAGGAAAAGTTTAGTAATTGTTACCCTCTTTCAGGATGCTCTAGTTTTTGCCTTACTTTTTTTTGTTTCCTTTTTTTTAAAAAAAAACAACAAAAATAAAATAAAACAAGAGTTAATTTTTTTTATGTACTCTAAGAGAAAAATAAAAAAATATTAAATATTATGCAATATATCTCTAGCAATGACACCAAAATTTGACGTGACTCAATCGTTGTATATTAAATCACATAAATCTAAAATTTATAAAACTAGAAAATATAAATTTTCAAACATTTAGAAGTATTTCTGAATAAATATATCAATTATAATTCAATAAAACTTTTAAAAATAGCAGTAATTTTCCAGGTCTAAGGATGTAATATAATATCTGATAATTATTCAAAATTTTCCTCAATGAATATGATTTTCTATGAATTTTATACTAAGAAATAAAAAGTAAATATATTTAAAATTCACAAAAAAGGAAAATAAGGGTGCAAACATTAAGATGATGTCTGCGCCCGACAAACATGAATCAAACAGAAATAAAGTTCCGTCCAACGATTATTACGTAAGTGATTATATATAATTTAATTAATCAAATTAAGATATGTAAAAGCTAAAAGAATCGTAATTGAATAAAGTATATTTTAGTAATTTAAAATCATAAAAAATATCATTAAATGAAGTGTAAAGTAAGTTGAAAGCAGAGTTATGGTGTCACAATGGTGATACGTTGGCAATGCACCAGAATCTTGAGCATTCGAGAGGATTGTTGTGCAGTGTCTACAACCTCGAAGGCTCTTCTTGGACAAAGACAACATGGGCAATCTCTAGATCTTTTTGCGAAGTCTAGAGATTAATGAAATGACTCGTCGAGTCATCTCCAGCGGCTATCACCCAATGGAGCAGAAAAATGACAACTTTGCAGCTCTCAGGCAGTAGTCACCTAACGGAGAAGAGCTGGATGGAGGTGGGGCACGTGTCTGACGTGACTCAGTCGTTGTATGTTAAATCACGCAAATATAAAATTTATAAAACTAGAAAATACGAATTTTCGGATATTTAGAAGTATTTCTAAATAAATATATCAATTATAATTCAATAAAAATTCCAAAAATAGCGGTAATTTTCCAGGTCGATCACAGGGATGTAATATAATATCTGGTAATTATTCAGAATTTTTCTCAATGAGTACAATTTTCTTACGAATTTTATACTAGGAAATAAAAAGGAAATATATTTAAAATTCACAAAAAAAAGGAAATAAGGGTGCGGACGTCAGGATGACGTCAGCGCCCGGCGAACGCGAATCAGGCGGAAACAGAGTTCCGCCCGGCGATTCTTACGTAGGCGATTACAGACGACTCAATTAATCAAATTAAGATCTGTAAAAGCCGGAAGAATCGTAGTTGAACGAAGTATAGTTTGGTAAATAAAAATCAACAAAGTATCACTAAATGAAGCGTAAATTAAATTGAAAGCAGGAAAACAGAGTTCCGGCGTCGCGACGGCGATGCGTCGGCGATGCACCGGAATCCTGAGCGTTCGGGAGGATCGTCGTGCAGTGTCCACGGCCTCGAAGGCTCTCCTTGGACAAAGACGACGTGGGAAATCTCTAGATAAAGCAGGAAAACAGAGTTCCGGCGTCGCGACGGCGACGCGTCGGCGATGCACCGGAATCCTGAGCGTTCGGGAGGGTCGTCGTGCAGTGTCCACGGCCTCGAAGGCTCTCCTTGGACAAAGACGACGTGGGCAATCTCTAGATCTTCTCGCGAAGTCTAGAGACCAATGAAGTGGGTCGTCGAATCGTCTCCGGCGGCTGTCACCCGGCGGAGCGGAAAAACGGCGACTTTGCGGCTCTCCGGCGGCTGTCACCCGACGGAGAGGGGCTGGATGGAGGTGAGGCGCGTGTTAGGGAGCTTCATCCTCAGGTCCGCGCAGCAAGAGGAGGCTCTTCATCGCATCTGGTACGCTCTCAGGAGGTGGCGACTGGTCTCCCGGCGGATCGTCCTCTTCCCGACGACGGCTTGTTCGTCGATCAATCGGAGATGATTTACTCGATGGATTGCGATCCTTTTATCGCGAATCGTTCAGAAATTTTAGTAGCAATGCTCCGCGAATCGCGTTGACGAGATTTTCGCCGATGATCCAGCGATTCCGGTTGCTTAATCCTTCACCGGCGATCTGCAGGAAAGTCGCGATAATCAGTTAAAAATATATGAATTTTGACTCTGGGAGGATTCGAACCCGCGGCGGTCGCCCGCCCCTGAACAAGGTGTGACGCGGGTTTAGTCCCACATCGGTTGTGCGCGGATTATTCGGGCGATTATATAGTAAAGTTAGCTTTCTAGGCAAAGTCCTCTCGCGTGTACGACCACTCCTTGCCCCACAGCCGGCTGACCACCGGTGACGTGGAAGGGGAGTGGCGCACACGTGCCCCTATCGATCCAGCAAGCCGCTCGAGCCCCTGCTCGCGGCTACTCCCCGACTGCGCTTCCGACCCGCTTGCGGGCCCGGCTGGCCGGCGGATCCCCCCATTTTGCAATATTTTTATTTTTATTTCTTGTTCTTCATTTATCTCAAAACTAAGACTGTAAAAATCGTATAAAATCACATAATTACCCAAAAATTCACGTTAATCAACTGAAAACCACTTTTCATGCTTTAACACAAATATAAGTCTATTTATCATGAGTTAAGGCTAAAACTATATTATTTACTAATTATTAACTCATGATAATGAAGACTTATCAGTGTCAAAGAGCTTCGTCCTCAAGTCTGCGTAGTAAGAGGAGGCTCTTCATTGCATATGATACTCTCTCAAGAGGTGATGACTTGTCTCTTGGCAGATCGTCCTCTTCCCGACGACGACTTGTTCGTCAATCAATTGGAGATGATTTACTCAATAGATTCGTGATCCTTTTATCGCGAATCGTTCAACAATTTTAGTAGTAATGCTCTGCGAATCGCATTGACGAGATCTTCGCCGATGATCCAACGATTCTCGTTACTTAATCCTTCACCGGCGATTTGCAAGAAAGTTGTGATAATTAGATAAAAATATGACTTTTGACTCTAGGAGGATTTGAACCCGTGCCGATTGTCTACCCCTTCTGAAGAAGGTGTGTGGGTTTAGTCTCACATCAATTGTGCACCGATGTTTTGGGCGAATATATAGTAATTCTACATTTCTAAGCAAAGTTTCTTCTCTTGCGTGTACGACCACTTCTTGCCCCACAGTCGGCTGGCCACCGGTGACGTGGGAGGGGAGTGGCGCACACGTGCCCCCATCAGTTCAAGCCGCCATCGATTTAAGCCGCTTGAGCCCTTGCTTGCAGCTACTCCCTTACTACGCTTCTAACCCACTTTCGACCCGCTTGGGGGCCTGGCTGGCCAGCATGTCTCCCCATTTTGTAATATTTTTATTTTTATTTCTTGTTCTTCATTTATCTCAAAAGTAAGACTGAAAAAATCATATAAAATCACATAATTATCTAAAAATTCATATTAATCAACTAAAAACCACTCTTTACACTTTAACACAAATATAAGTTTATTTATCATGAGTTAAGGCTAAAATTATATTATTTACTAATTATTAACTCATGATAATAAAGACTTATTAGTTATTCATCTAAGTATGGAGGACATTTCTCTAGATGAAAAATAATTGTAAAATTTTTTCAATGTGATTTTTATTGGTCTACAATTATTAGAGATTCTATAGAATTTAATAAAACATGTATTTCATGTCAATCTATAGGTAACATGAGTAAAAAAGATGAAATACCTATGAGTAACTTGTTGGTAGTTGAACTTTTTAATGTATAGGGAATATATTTTATGAGTCACTTCTCATCAGTTGAAAATATAAATATATTTTACTTACTATTGATTATATGTCTAAGTGGGTGGAAGTTATTTCTACTAGAACTAATGATCATAAAACCATGATGAAATTTGTATAGGAAAATAGTTTTTCGAGATTTGGATGCCCTAGAGTGATTATTAGCGATGGAGAAACATATTTTATAAATAAACATTTTAAAGAACTATTGAGAAAGAATGGAGTACACCATAGAGTAGTCACTCCATATCATTCCTAAAAAAATAGGTAAGTGGAAGTAGTAGATAGAAAATTTCAGAGAATTTTGAGAAAAATAATTAGGCCATATAGGAAAATATAAGATACATTATGGACTTATAGAATAATTTATAAAAATCCCATAAGTATGTTTTCATTACATCCTATTTTTGGAAAGTCATGTCATCTTCTTATGAAAATAGAGCATAAAACATTATGTTCTATAAAAAAATTATGTATGGATGAAAAATCAACTGGTGGATATATAATTTTTCAACTACATGAACCAGAGGAGTTGAAAAATGAAGCCTTATGAAAATTATAGAATATATAAAGAAAAAAGTAATTTTTTTTATGATAAATACATTAACAGAAAAAAAAAATTGATGTTGGACAAAAAGTGTGGTTATATGATTCTAGGCTGAAATTATTCTCAAAAAAATTAAAATCAAAATGGACATGACCTTATGTGGTGGAAGAGACATATGATCATGTGATTGTAATGATTAAAGATCCTAAAAGTGATTATAACTTGAAGGCTTAAACATTACATAGAACATGAATGCCTTGTAGAAAAAGAAATTTTATTATTAAAAAAAAATCAAGAGTAAGATCAATGTGTCCAGCTAGAGACATTAAATTCAGCACTGCATAAGAAGTAACCCATAGTCTTTATTTCATTCTTTTTTTTAAGTGCTATTTTTCTTAAAATTTCGCAGTACTTGTTTCTGTGTTTATTTTTTTCGAAAAAGTGTAGAAGGAAGAGTGTAAGATGAAGTGGAAAATTAAAAACGACGTTGAGGGGGTGTTTTTCTGAGCTTTATCATTTATGACAACATTTTTAATACTTAACTATGCATATATGCATGCTTCACTTGAGAATTATATTTTTTGCATATTTTGTTTCGATTTTTCTGTGTCATTGATGGTAATGTCATTTTTAAGTTAGGGGGTGAAGTATTGATTCTTAATTTATGCTGTAGGATGATTAAGAACATATGTTTGCATTTTTTTTCCTGCTCACTTAGAATAGTAACTAAAAAAAATAAAAATAGAAAAACTACATCATCTATATTTTGATTTTCTATCAGGAACAACAAACTGTCAAAAATAGCAGACAAAAAATAGTTCAAATTTTGAAATTCTAGAGATCCTTTTCTTACATTTCAATCCCTTAGACATATATTATTGAAATTTGATAAATTTATTGATGCTAAAAATAAAACTGAAAATAGAAAGTAGAATTGTCATAACTATCTAATTTACAAATTTCTTACATCATATTGCATGCATGAAAAATTAAATCAATTTGATTGATTACTACCAAAAGATACTAAGAAGATTATTATTGAGTTAAAAGAATGATTTAGTAGCATGAAATGTTGAAATACTCTTTGGATACATGATAGATAACATGGATTTGATTTTACATATTTTTATTTCATGATCTTGATGAATAGTATTTACTTGATGTGAAAATTTAATTGATTATTTGAGTTTAATGGAGATTTTTGTATCTTGATCTATAGGACTTGTGAGGTGAAATTACTTATTTTAAAAGAAAAAAAGAGAGTAATGTAAAAAATTTAGAAATGAAGAATATATATGAAGGGTGTGAGACATCATTCTCATTGTTGAAAATCATACATAGAAAAATACTTGTTGTAAAATAAGTGGATAAAATGAAAGCTTTGAAATTGAAGAGTACACATAAAGGGTGTGAGACATCATTTTTATTGTCAAAATTTGTCTATAAGAAAAGCAACTTATCCACTATATATAAAAAAAGAAGGAAGAAATATAGTACACATTTTAAAAATCAAGTCGTAGAAAAAATAAAATGTAGGATCAATATTATTTTTGGATGAGTATTAATAATTGAAGATCTTGTAAATATATCTATGAGTGAAGAAGTGATAAATATGTGAATAGAAGAAGTGAAGTATAACTTGTTATTCTAAAGAGTACTTAAACATTTAAGTGTTTGATATCATTCTTAAATACTTGATATATGAATTTAAAGTATCTAAAGGTATATCATTTCTAATTATATTTCTTTTATATATTAAAATATGATAATTTAGATTTATGAATTTTTATTTTCATAATTCCATTGCCAAGGGACTCACAATAATTTAAGTTAAAGGGTGTGATAAGTTTTCATTATCATGAGTTAATAATTAGTAAATAATATAGTTTTAGTCTTAACTCATGATAAATAAACTAATATTTATGTTAAAGTGTGAAAAGTGGTTTTTAGTTGATTAATATGAATTTTTAAGTTAATTATGTGATTTTCTATAAATTTATATTATTTTTAGTCTTATTTTTGAGATAAATAAAGAAAAAAGAAATTAAAATAAAAATATAGAAAAATGGGGGGGACCCATTGGCTGACCGGGCCCGCAAGTAGGTTGAAAGTGCAGTTTTTTAGAAGGGTGGTTACCTTTTTATGTTTTTTATAAATAAGACATATTTTTTTAATTTTTTTTAGTACAATGGATAAGAAAAAAAATTCTCTTTTCCTTAATTACATTATCTTTCTCCATCAATTCTCTTACTCTTTCTTAGTTTCTCATCTCTTATATTATAAGTGAAGTTTTTATAAAAAAAGATAAGAGTCCATTGCTAAGTCTCCAACATGTGAGTTGTCTTAGACGCATTGAGACCAGGATTAGAGGTGTTTTGGTGAAAGTTTTATTTTCATCAAAAAAAAATTGATATCTTTGATAATTTCTCTTCTATTTGCTCTCACTGATATCTAAAAATTGAGTTTCTGATATTATTATGATCGTATACTTATATATTTATTCATACAAGTGGTACCAAAATATTAATTTAACTATTTCTAGACTTACTATAACTTCTAAGGTACACATTGACATTTTAAAGTTGGATAAGCCATCTAACTTCAGTCTTTAAAAGTATTGTGTGTATAATGTATTATTGTAGACAGACTTATATAAGA